AGGTAGGTAGGTAGGTAGGTAGGCTGCTGGTATGTACACGCACACACACACACACATCTCTAGTTTTCATTTTCCTGTGGATATGCATACATACACAGTTGTCAGACGCCTGCCGGCAACAACTCGCCGTGATCAGAATTATCGACTTGCCGATGCTTCACTGAGTCATGTTCAAGAGCTGCTACAAGATCTGCCATTCTGTAGGCTCTGCTCGCGTTTAGGATGAAGCAAGTTTTGGCCAACGGCAGGCCGCGCTGAATCTCCTCTTCTGCGCGGCAGCGCCGGAGGTGGAGGCAGTACTGCAGATGCGGCCTGTGGCCCTGGAGCCACGATCTTCACAAGCCTTGAATTGTCCGGTTCTAGGGTTGGCTGTGTCGAGTTGCAAGCCAGACGTGAACCATCCGAGCGGGGTCCAGCCCGGTTCAAGGCGGTTCAGGTTTTAGTTCGCAAGGTTCCGGCTAAACCTAAACCTTAAACTCTAAAGTATAGACTCTGGCCCCAAAACCCTCAGTATGGCCTTTATAGATGCCGGGCACAATGAGATCATTGAGAGTTCATGCCAGATAAAACTGGAGGTTTGAGCTCCAACGCTTCACAATGAAGTCAGATCCTAAACAGACACCATTCCATCGCCTGCAGGTACGAACCGTGCACGGCAAGCTTATCGTACCCATCGCCACGGAGCACCCGTGCCTCCTCTAGAGTTCACAATCAATCATAAAGGGTTTACAGCAGAGGCCTCCATAATTACCAATACTATTTGGGGGCTCTTACTATCAGTTAAAGCAGTATGATATACACCAGAACCTTATTTCTAGTTATTCAGGCCCCGAAAAGGGGCTTCTGGGCAGGTTGTGGAATGTGCGGCTGTGGCTTCGCCCTTTTATGATTTGTTTGGGTCGGTAAACCCTCGATTTTTGCACCCCCAAAAGCCGAAAAGTCCCGTGCGCCCCGTGAAATGTTAAGAGCATCCCCCGGGGATTCACAGACCTGCAAATTAGGGTTGAGGGTTTAGGGTTCAGGGTATGATTGTTTCTTTGGGTTGATGGCGCAAGGGGCTTCTAGCATGTTTTACTACACGAGGTGCACCTGTTAGGCGAAGCCTCCGCAATACTAGGTGTAAGTTTGGGGTCACTTTCTGTTTCCCTCATTGGCAGATTATGACCCTAAACCCTAAACCCCTCTAACTTGACAAGACTTCGGTGGCTCTTGAAATCGGTACGTAGTGACCTAGTCAAGCTTCGTAGAAATCAGGGTTGAAGAGGTTCTGACAAGAACCCCAAGCCCCAAACCCCAAACCCTAAACCCTAAGATTAAACCCTGAACTCTATTCCCCAACCGCTCAGCCCCTAAGCCCCAAAACCCAAGCTCTAGACCCTGTCCTATGCAACCAAGCCCCTAAGGCCGCGCCACGCGCAAGCCTTCAATGAGGAATTTGCGATCCGTCTCTGGGAGTTCAGCCACCCGGCTTCAGGGAAACTCAGAAAGTCACCATAATCTAGGACCTTACGAGAGTGGAGTTCCTCCAAACGAGCTTCACAAGGGTTCTATAAGGGTTTCAGGATTTAGGGGCCCTTAATAATGATTGGATTTTGAGGTGCGTTAAAGTAGACTTGCAAATGCGGGGGACGATCCATCAACCAGGCTCGTGCCCACGGAAGGACGAAGTCGGCGGGGCTCTCGGGTGGAAGGTGTAAGACTAAGGGGCCTGAATAAAGTTGGTAACAGCACAGTTTGGGGTTCCCCAGCATACATGTAATATAACTTATCCCGAAACCTTATTCGAACGATTCGGGCTCCGAAACTATTGTTCGGATTTGGCCTAGAGATGTAAACATTAGGAGTTTAAGGGTTTAGGGTTCGTGTGAGTTCGGGGTTCAGGATTAAGAGTGGAAGGGGTTGGGTTGAGGTTTCGGTCTACTATGGAAGCCTAAATAGTTACCAATATTATTTCTTTGGGTTCCTTATTAGAGTTGTGCGAGAAAATAATCCCGAAGCCCTCTTCCAATTTTAAGGCCCCTACATTAGGGGATTCAGTGACCAGGGGTACATCAGGGGATTCAGGGCGCTTAGGAAGCCAACCTATGACGGCTGCAAGTTTTAAGCACCTTAATTGTGTTGCCAGCCACGAGAAGGATAGTGACCTTATTCAAAAGCGTAGCTACCAACTCCTATGATCCCATGATGCTGTAAGTACATCCTATACTTAACCAAAAGCCGAAGGCTAAACTCTGAACCCCAAATCCTAGAGCCCAAATCCCAAAACTTGAACCATTGGGCTGAGGGTTTAGGGTTTAGAGGTTTAGGGGTTTAGGGGTGTAGGGTTTAGGGGTTTAGAAGTTTAGGGTTTCAGGGTGTAGGGTATCCTGAACTTAGGAAAGCCCTAAGCCTGAGCCCCAGGACCGGAAACGACAAACACCGTAAGGAGAACAGAAATAACACTCATGACAAAAAGTATGGTAGCAGTAGCAGTAGCAGGCAGTAGTAGCAGCAGTAGCAGGAG